CACACACACACACACACACACACACACACACACACAGAGCACCAGGCAGACAAACAAAGCAAATCAATAATAATTTCTTGGGACTCCAGGGTGTTGTTTTATTAAATGAGCCTCTGCAGATGTACTCACATGGGTTAGCTCCGTCAGCAACGATAAGCATTCGCAGTGAGCTCAGGCTGATGTCTCTCTGGTCTCTCTGGGCCAGCAGAGACCAGTGCATGTCCCTCGACTTCACCACTGCTACCCGAGCTGCACGGGGGACACAAAGACAAAAGCAATGACCGACACAATCATGACCTCTGTGGTCCAGTTTGACGAGATCATAAAACCAGACAGCAAGGAGCGACGCAAGCTGACTCAGTCGCCAACAGATGATTGAGCAGAGCTGTGGATCAGTTTTATTCAGGGCACACAACCCCAGAAATCAATAGGTCCAACAAATGATCTCTTTAATCCATCCACTCGTGTCCAACGTGCACTGAGAATCAAAACAGTAACAAGCAGGAATAAAATCTGGTCTTCTTAACAATAAAACACCTGAAGTGTATCTTCCCTAAGGTAGCCTCTTGTGAAAAGTGTGCTCTGTCCTCGTTTTCCGAATTAAACAGCAACAAAAAAAGATCTAAATTCCTTACTAACCCTAAATAGATGGACTGGCCCTTACCTTTATATGTGTGAACCTTCATTATCCAAGACAGAGGGTTGACTTTCATCAGGGAGTAGGGAATGCTGATCACATGCATCCGATTCATGACGCTCTGCCAGGAGAGCAGTAAGCATTGAGATGAGCTCCAATATATGCCAGAAATGCATCACAACTAAATGAGGTCACTGTAAACACGCTGCAGGTTATGATTTTATCTGCCAAGAGTACAAAAATAAGCCTGTTTATACACGTAACAACAAATCACGTATGACCTATGGCACCGGGAATTCTCATGCATGTTTGAAAGCAGTCAATCAAAGCTGGGATGTCTGTGTCAGTGGAAGCAGCTTTATTTTTCACAGGTTTGAAACTCCTCAGTGGTTAGATAAGATGCTTTTTCCCCCCATCAGGACTTCATTAGTTTGAATGCATTTACATACTGATAAAGGCCTCAGTGGGAAGCCGGTTAGATAAGTTTCAGTTTTTATCTGCAAACTGAGCTCAGATCTCCTCCATTTCTCATTATATAAGCGCCCCATTAGCTCTACTAGAGGTCTGGAGACTACTTACAGTGAGAACACCGTGCCATAATCCTGCTTCTCTCTTGAAGTCCAGGACGTTGGTTATCGTCTCACCTACAAATTAAAAAAAGGAGAATTTTTCAAGGTTAGGAGCACAACACAGTTACATAAGTTTCTGTAATTCTGACTGTAGCAGCAGTGGTTTGAGTAAGCCAAATTAAGTTACAGAAACAGATCCGGAGAGTCTCTGGGGGTTGCTGGTGCTGTTTGCAGTTACTCAGAACAAAAGTAGGACACTAGAAGAAAGGAGCTACTTTATGTTCTCTTTCTTTTTAAGCAGACCTGACCCAGGTATGATGGAAGGAACGCAACCAACTGAGCAGCTGCATTTATCAAATGAGACTGTATTTACACCTAAAAGTGTCTCAGAGCATTTCTCCTGCCAGCACCAACTGAACTTTCTCCATGTCGGAAGAAGTGATAAATGATGGAGGGAAAGATTGCAGAAACAAAGTATGACCAAAAAAGTAAATTAAGATTCCTCCTCACCTTCAGTGTAGCCACAGGCCTGCGTGAGGGCATGACAGTGAGCCAGCATGGCTGAATGGGACACTGTGATTCCCATGGTGCTTCCTTCTTTGCTGGTTTTATACTAGATGTAAGAAGCATAAAGGGAAAAAAAAACAGTTTCATTAGGAAGAAAAAGGATCTGGTAAAAACAAAAACTGCCTAATAAGTTGAATAAGTAAAAAACAAATCCAGTAAAAACCATCGCGTCACATCCTTTGATTAAACCCCACTTACTTCTATGTAGGCAATGTCGTTACTGGCTTCCCGTATTGGAGGGTGCCAGTCTTTTGGAGGCTTCACAACATGTTTTCCATCTGTCACAAACCACAGCAACCGCGGCCAGCCTGCAGAGACAGAGACATGAAGTCATCTCAAACCAAATGAAACTATGCACACACATTCACAATGAAAACAAAACAGGCTGTACCTTTGAAAGTGGCAACCTCCCCTGTTTGTGCTTTGGGCAGGCCTTTCTGACAGGCGTCAGTGGTCAGTGCCAACGTGACGCCGCAGCTGCCCAACAGAAAGCCGATCTGTTGACTTCCCGCATCCTGGGGGAGCAAAGAGAGTATCTGTCACACACAACGATCAACTACTAAAAACAGAAAAATTCAAAATAACTTTGAGAAAGGATGCGCCGAGGGAATGTGGGAATTGCTAATGGAGTGAAAACAAGGGCAATGACAAGAAGAAGAAGAAGAAAACAAAGAAGAAGAAGAAACCTCAGAGCATCACAGCAGCATCAAAGCAGCAGCAGGTGAGCAAGCGGAGTGACGGCCAGTCACTATTAAAAACTCTACTGCTGTGCATCAAAGCCAGACTGTAGCAGGAATGAAACCCGAGATCTGACACAAGCTCGCTCCTATTTGATTGGCTGTGCAAATGAGCTTATAGCTAAACTCGTGCTGTGCAAAGTGCGCTGCTCAGAAAAGCAAAAAAAAAAAAGGTCGGAGACTCAAGATGGGTGGGGAGAGGCGGAAAGAAAGAAGAGGAGGGTAATAGGAATAAAGAGAGGGACACAACGAGAGGACGAGGAATGATAGGAGCTGACAGAGTGAGCAAATGAGCGTCTGACTCCTGAGAACAGTTGGCCTGTGATCTAATATTTTGACTAGAATAACACATCATTTCACCTCACTCAAATCTCATTAATTACAGCACAGCGTCTGCCAACAGCATGCTTATAAAGGGCAATCACGAACAGGCATTAATATTCAGGCTGTGCAACTAATATGGATAAATTTAGATCGGTTTGAGCTGATCGATGCTCTGGGAACCGCAAAACATCATAAGCTAATACTCCGCATTTAAACATTTAAGAGATCAGATTTACAAAGATGTGATTTAGCGTAAGGAACGTCAAAGAGAGTGAAGATTAGCACTGAATCAAAAACTGCATCTGACTTAAGTACGTCTCTCATGTAAACACATTGAGGTCAGATGTCCAGTAGGGGTCAGTAAAACGTCAAAAATCACACATTCCCAGGAGACCCTCATTGCTTTACCTTTCTGGTCAGCGGCACTTCAATAGGTACAGGTACGAGCTCCGCCAGGAGACAGCCGTAGAAGGCCACCATGAACATCACCGGATCATTGTTGGGGAAAACAAGTGCAACCTGCAGGTGTGTTCAAGACATGGTTACAATACACCAACATTACTGTTTTAATGGACAGTATTGTGGACTGACGGTGACACTAAACATGTCATACAAATAACGAAGCGTTTGCTTTCTGCAAGGCTTTAAAGTTTAAGAAATCATTGCTTTCTACCAGAGAGTTAGTTGACAACTCCAGCTTCACAACAATAATATTTATATTTTCAATAAATCCTTGGTTTTAGTCAACAGTCAGTTATTCTATCTTGGCTTGGGTCTGTTTTCTGTTCGCTGTAGCCCCCATTAAACGTGAAACTGCCGTTTTTGCATCAGACAAAAATCACACATGCACTATCTCGCACCAAAACAAACAGGCTTCTCAGCCAGCCTCCCCCATCTTTTTAGATTATTTTAGACAAGAAAAAAAGTCCAGCCCTGAAAATGAGATGAAATTAAATGTCTACACATAAATTAGGTTTTTAAACTTTACAGTTATGAACTGTGCCAGACTGGGCTCGCTCATTTCACTTTTACGTTCCCAGTCAAAGATTTCAAGGTAATAATGCAGATGCAGACTTGGCTTAACACAAACATGTGAGGAATGGGACTTTCCTCTCTGCTAAGAAGTAAGGAAGCACTCCATTAATTATTTCATAGGAAAAAAAAATATTGTTTTCTGCTATATTAATGTTCCAAATTCAAATAGAATATTAAAGCTTTTAAGTGGATCTAAAACAATAAAAGTAAACGCAAATCCGAGAGCTCGTCACTTTTTCATCTAGCAGGATAAGGCAGTAACTATATTTCCCAAAAGGTTCCTATGTAGGAATACCTTCAGCCCCCTGTTTTGTTTTGTTTTATTTTATTTTCTCACGTCATTGAATTTATTTGGTGATTAATTCCATGTGGAATATTTGTAATAGTGCTGATTGATTGAGTGAAATGCCAAAAAATGTAACACATTCAATCGCCACCGAACACACTGTAATATATCATGACTTACTCTGTCTCCAGGCACGAGCAGAGGCTCATTTCTGCTGCTCAGCTTATTAAGAAGCGTATAGGCCAGTTTCTGACTGCGGGTCCACAGTTTACCTGCAGAGGTTAACACACATTGTCAACGAGTGCCTTTGATTTAACTATTCTAACCTGCAAAACAACATTTAAACAGCAGAATACATCATGTCTGTTTTTCAAAGACACAGTGGATGAAAAGAGGTGCTATTCTTTTCCATCTGAATTGTCATTTCTGGGCCAACATCCACAGGCTAACACCTACCATAGGTGAGTGTGTAGACGGGCTTGCCAGCATTGTCGAGTGCTGTCAGGCAGGGGCTCTTGGGCTGAGTGGTTCCCCACCTTTGTAGGGCTGCTGGCAAGGAGGGAGGCCAGTTGGTCACCACCCCAAGAGGCTCCCCTTCCAGGGGACACATCTGCTGGCCTTCTGGCTTTGGCTGGTTGGGATCTGGCTGCTGGACTGAAAACATGAAGAAGATGAATTGGACATCTTTAAGACTTTGATTCGAATTGAGCGTAATATAAGCTCCTGAGCTGCTTGATAAAGAAGACCGGCTAGTCTGCAAAGAAATGGTAAATATGTAAATTAAACAACACTTGTAAGGAGGACAGGGGAGGAAAAAAAGAGTGTGAGAAAAAAAAGACAATGAGGAAGGTGTGATGGAAAAGGAAAAGCTGGAGGATATACAGTGAGCTGTATTCTGTCCTCATGAGTCTAAGCTGCCTATTATTCCTACTTGTGAGAAACTCGAAGCTGCTGCTTACTGGAAATCAGTCTCGCTCCTTCTTTAAGTACTCTATTGACTTCTGGATTTGACTTCCATCTCTTCATCTCTATTCTTACCTTCAGACTCTCTGAGCAGTAGAGTTCAGACCTGTTTAAAGAAGCAGGTAAGCCATATCTCTGCCAAATATAACATCTTTATCAGTGTTTGGATCCTACCTCTGAGTGTGTTTTTCTGCTCACACTGAAGCTTGCCATACCACAAGGAGAAGCTTTACAGTTACCTGCTGATGCACTGCTATTCCCGCAGCATTTTCATTCACTCAGTGTTTATTCAGAGTGGCAGAGTACCACCCAGACCCACCGATGGGTTTGGTTGGAATGGAGGAAATGGTTAGGAAGGGCTGGTCCAGTCCGTGTGCACTTCCCTAAAAAAATTCCCTTTCAACACCTGGTGGTCTTCGGGGCCAAAATAACTACCACTGAGCTAAAACCGTGCCTTGGTGGTTTACTTGTGGGACCTGGCAAGGTCACAGTCACATTTTTATCTCAGCCACAACAAGAATTAGACAGATCACTATTATTAGAGCTGGAAAACCAACGCGATGTGAGCATCACATTCGAAAGAGTAGGAGTGTGAAAGAGTTTCTCTTCACGAAGATTTATTGATTCAGCAGAATCACTGTAATTACATTCAGGTGGGCTTACCATCCAAAAGCTCCTCAAAGTCGTCAACAAAGAACTCGCGCAACGGTGGACGCTTTGGTCTCTTCAGTGTATTGAGCAGCTGCTGGATTTTGTTGGAGACGCGACTGTTGACTGGAACACCTATAAAATGAGTTTTATGGAGATGAAAAGACAAAAAAAGGTTGGGAGGACATAAACATGACAAGAAAAAAAAACATGTAGAGAAATACAGACGGGAAAAAGTGGAGATAATTGTGATGGCGCAGGTGGGACGTGGGCATGTGCAGACAGATTGATTGAGAGATTGATGGAGGACGGGGGTGGATAAGGGAGGGACAGATAAGGAAAGAAAAGGAGACAAGGTCAGTGTGTTTTTCTAATGAGGCACAGAGGACAACCAGCTGTCAGTCACACCGTGGCAGGACAACAAAGCAGTGGAAGGCGAGGTCCTGCGCTGTACAGTCACCTTAAAGACATAGTGTTTTAGTAGGAAGTCTCAGGAATCACTGCGAGACCTCAAAGGCTAAGAAAAAAGGAAATCAGGAAACGAGGAGCCGCCTCGCCTGCTGCCTAGCAACAAAGATGTACTCGCTGCAGAAAATGATTCATGAGGTGTCTCAAAAGGTGCCCGCTTCATGCTATAAAATATAGACAGTGAGATGCTAAAATCACCTAACCCCGACTTAAATCAGAACACAGATAAATGGTCTGACATGCATGTTACACCTTAAAATTAACCCTTAAATCGTTTTTTTAATATAAAAACTGAGCCAGATCATAAAAGGAGAGAAAACAAGACAAACAAAACAACAAACAAACTAACAGACTCCGAATGAAACTTGCGTTGTGCCGTTAGAGTCATGTTTGAGGTGAGGTTCAGTCTATAAACATCATCAGACATTATTTTTACCCGATAAATATACAGTTAGCTTTAAAAGGGGGGCGGCTGTGTTCGACAACCCAGACAGCCACGGGAGCTAAAGGCCACAGCTGCACACAGCTTGCCTGATTTATCTTACTATAATAAGCCTAGCTCAGACAGACCCTGCCTCCTCATGCAGGGACAGATGTACCAGGGATCGACCCTGTGGGGGTCAGTGCAGCACCTGATGGACCAATTAGACAGCAGCCCCTAACATCCTGGCTCTGAACTCCCCCACCCACCTCATCATGAGGCTTGATCGTTCATATCTGGACCAACCAGGACCCGTCTGTGATGATGACGATAATTAATGTGTTCACGATCTTATAATGAATGCATTTACAGCCATAAATTGCTGTAGTAATCTCTGGCTCTTCCTTAATGTGGGACAAAATGTTACACCACGTCTTTACAGTAAACAATAACAGAGTTATAGGATCGGGCTAGTATTAGTCCATCTTTTTCCTATTGTTAACAAATCCCAGCCAAAAATTGTCTCTGGGGCCCAGTCTTGCTGAGCACTTTAAACATAAAAATGCGTCATAAAAACACGGTCCTGTTTTTTAAAAACATTCAATTTCCTGTGTCAGCTGGGCACTGCAGCTTTTAGGATTTTCTATTCAGACATTTATATTTGCAAAGGTGTGTTTATAGTGACTATCTCCAGCCATGGATTTAGGCAGGATGGTGTACAGTATGTGAAACTGGCTCAAAATAACCCACAGTGACTCATAATGAGGGAACATGTTGCCCACTGCAACAGCATGGTTCACTTGATGCATTTGTCATTGTTTCTGGATGATAATGGAGGTCGGCCGGATAAAAATAAGTCTTATCAGGCTACGGATACAATAAACACCTGTTCGTAATAATAACTTATTGTTGCTTTTGGTCTTTTGATAGGATAAAGCGAAGTGGAAAAGAAAGTTTGCATAGGGCTCTGTGCAGTGCTGTGAAAACTAAGTATGGAGCATGACTCAACAGCTTGTAGAACCACATTTAGCAGCAATAACTTGAAGCAATAATTTTCTGTATGACTTTATCAGTCTCTCACATCGTTTTGAAGGTATTTTTGGCCACTCTTCTTTATAACATTGCTTTAATTTCATTGAGGTTTGCCTCAATTCATTTATGCACAGCTCTGTTAGGTCTCGCTACATCATTTCAGCCAGCTTGAGGTTTGGACTTTGACTGGGTCATTGCAACACCTTGAGTATTTTCTTGTCTTTGATTCAGCCATTCTGTTTTCTGCTGTGGTTGGTATCACAGTCCTGTTGTATAACCTAATTTCAGCGCAGCTTTATCGGTCAGATATGACCTTGATGTACAGACGAGTTCATGGCTATCTTAATGACTGCAACGTCCCCAGGTCCTTTAGCCCAGATCATTGACAGATGGTCTGAGGTGTTTGTGTTGAGATGCTGTATAACACTTCCTAGACTGATGGACAGCAAGAGCTGTTTCTTTAAGATCACTGCTTCTTGTCTTTGTTCATTGTCACCATGTTAACAAACCTGAATGCCCCAGACCAGCAAACTGCCAAAACTTGTGCTTTTAAGAGTTATTAGATTAACTGCTACCTACCCTTTTAATTCCTATGGAAGTTGTAATGGTTTACTTTTCACAGTACTGCACAAAATTCTGTAAGAAATTAATTTTTTTTAAACGATTGTAAGCTGAAAACAGTGCGAAAATACTGAATTTGTATCGGCAAAATTTGCGCATAAAACACCAACACACACAGTGTCGGTATCCAAGTACAGATGGAGCCAAAGCTACTGTGTGACTTGTTTTTTCTTTACACACATCTATGTGTCAAAAAAATGGCAGCAGTCCTAGAGAGCTGCCATCAAAGAAGTCACTGCGTGGCTGCGGGCTAGCCGTCAAAGACTGAAGTGAGAAACAGACTGACAGTTGTTTTCAGTTTGAGATAAGAAAACAGTCTGTCAACATAGTAATTAGTCGCAAGGCCAAACGAAGAGTTACACCTCTGCTTAAACGCACTCACTTTCTAAAGACATTCAGGTTAGACGTTGCCTGAAGATGCTATAAACGGTAGAGCACTTGCAACATACTCAGCTATACAAACAGAAACACACTCACATGCACACTGTATCACTGAATTCACTGTAGCTGTGCATATTTTTTTTATAACACACAAGATTTGGACAAGTGTCACAGTAAACCTGACAGTGGAGGTGAGAGGCAGAGATGCAAAGACACACAAATACAAACGCACATACAGCAGAGTGCACATACAGCAGGCTGCCATAGAGCGGAAGGAGCAGTTATAAATACCATCAATTAAAGTGAGGGATCCTTCACCTCTCCACTCACATCCTAGAGGAGAGACACATCAGGATGTCAATGAAGCGCTCCTGTGAACTTTCTGGATGACGGGGGATTTATATGTCTGCACTGAATCATAAAACCACAGAACCCTTCTGAAAACCTTGGCCGTAACCCGAGGTGCACCTCCCCGAGGATGTAACTATGCATCGTGTTGACGCAACCCGCAACTAATGCGATTGGCCTGATCAGTGAGAGAATAACAATCATTGCCTCACTATAAGGACTCACAGATGTCAGCAGATTGCTGGAAGGAGTTTCCACAAACTACTGGACTTGGTGTGAGGGAATGTAAGAAGAAGTGGGAAAAACCTGAGGGGCAAATATGTTTGCGTGGGGACCAAGGAGGGAAAAGAGTGCCAGCATTTTATTTGTTTCCATTTTGGCTGGCATCTAAAAAACAAAACAAAAAAAAAACAAAAAAAAACAAAAAACACACACCACAGGCTCTAGAAAGATTCGTGCAAAAGTCTAAATCGGCCGTGAGCGTGAATGTGTGAGAAATCTGCAGCTGCCACATGCAAGTGAGAGTGGGATTATAATGGAATCACACTGTTGTTTTACCACTTTCACCATGTTTAGTAATCAGCATAGGAAAACCTGCAGTTTAGATCCATAGATTTAACCACTACTTCCTGCTTTTGTGTCAGCTAGGTTGTTTAGTATTTAAGAATCCAGAGCACGGGTGGCAGGGAGATTATAGGCTCTCTGCTCAAGGTGTCCTCCGGTTTTCAAGCTGCCTGATTATTAACAAACTGAATGAATGAAGATGAACTCAGACAAAGAAAGTGGAGCAGATTTAATGAACCAGTCAACCTCATTGTCATCTGTAGCAAGATGCTGGTTTTCTTTCATAAGCCTCAAGTAATCTCAACTCATATAAAAAAAAAAAAAAAAAACACTGTCATATATGATGGAGATGTTTGGAAAATAGGCATTCAGGTCACTCACTCGGTTTCTTAGTAGTAAAATACAGTATAATGTATGATGATGCAGCACAGAGCACCTGACATTATGAAGAAAACAGATACTGGTATATAACCATTATGCCTTAAATGTAAATTGGTGACTGGGAAATATATGCATTGTTTCTAGAGTGGTCCATGTTCTGGTCCTACATAACTAAGGATACTTTCACAATATTAAACACACATTAAAAGTAAAGGCCCAGTCATGTGACAAACCGACCTATATGGGGCGTACCCTGCCTTTCACCCTATAACAGCTTGGATCGTCTCCAGCCCTAACGCAACTCTAAACTCAATAACCTGTTAAGATAATGGAAAAAAAGTTTTGTAAGGTTCAAAGACTATTGTGGACGCCACCTAAAACGGAATCACACTAGAAGATGTATATGTAAGTGGATTTGCGAAAAACCTCTGCCTGTAACTCAGCGGTTTAGGAAAGTGTTCAGGGTTCTTCCAACGGCGAGACTCTCTGCCAAGTTAAAGGTGAACTGACAACTTTTTGGATATATGGGCCCTCTTATAGACCGCTAAATGATGTCATGCTAAAGGGAAAAGGACTTGTTGGGTTAGAAATTTGAAGGAGACGGTGGGTGATAACAAGCGTAAGCACACAGCAGTTATAGGGAATGAGTGTGTCCTCCCTTACGGCAATTTGATAAACCAAAACATATTTTATGGTTGGGTATATGAAACCCTGCTTACATTTTACTCCAATTCTGCTAATTTTCCTATAAGAGAAAGCCAAAACTTCTTTAGGACACAAAATTTGTTTTTATATGGAATAAAAACCACACTCCCTCACCCACCTCCCTTCTTTTCTTCTTAGCTCAGGCTGTAATTAATGTGCTCAACTGTGTTTTTTTTTCTTTTTTTAAACCTACCTTAAAATGAGGTGGAACATGACCTGTTAATACTGTATTTACTGTATTTGTATGTACCTATCCTCTGCAGCATCCACTGCCCCATGCTGGTAGCAGTACTGAAGCCATACAAGCAAAGGCACGGTTTGAATGAAGAATAATGTTTGGAGGCTATTTTATGCACAGATCCACCAACAACATGGCAAAAACTGAGCGCGAAACCGAGCACCTAATGATCCGTTTTATGTCATGACTCAAATATTTGTTTGCCGCAGAGAAGCGAGACCATGATGCTGTGTAAATCTTTACTGTCTCAGTGTTTCTGTTAGTTAACAGAACCAAACATTACGGCAGGAACGTGACGGATTTTTCAGGGGTGGGGTGGGGGGGGTGGAGAGGTGCACCGTTACCGTGGCAACATGAGCAGGTCAGTCAGTAGCTTTTGCCAGTCACGTTGGCAGACTGACTAAGGAGAAGACAGAGGGACAAACAGCAGGGGAGAAGGAAAACGGGAGTTGACTTTGCGTGTATATGTGTGTGTGAGTGTGAGTGGGCAGGAAACTCACCATCTGCGGTCTCCATGACGCTGGTGTGGTGGTTGAAGCCGCGGGAAACGCCTCGCACCGAGGCCACATGGGGCCGCTCTGCGTGATGCGAGGAGCGCTCCGACAGCCCCGTCACGTCAGGGGGCGCTGAGTGGTTATCTGTGATGAGTGGGGGTGTCGGGGGTTAAAAGGTCAAATTTAAGGCCAACTGTGGGTGCTCGCAACTTATATAAAGATCTAAGTCATGGATTAGCAAACAATATGATTTGCCTGGTATTCTCTGAGCCGAAGCAAAGACTGTATTTCAACTTTTCACCTTCCCTCAACACCACACATAAAAGTCTGTACCCAAGATGTCTTACACTATGTTACAGACCAACTGATGTCCAGACACTAAGAGTGCAAAGTTGCTCTCTTAATGTTAGATAGAAAGCACTCAGACATAGAAAAAGGTGCTTGTGTGAATGAAAGAGTATATAGGAAGCAGTCCATTTACGTCTGTGAAGGTTCTCAGTCATCCAGGTCATCGTAGTCAAAGGAGCTTGCAAAGAAAAGCATCTGGACTTCTTTAAGTTACTTGAAGACGTTTCACCTCTCATCCGAGAAGCTTCTTCAGTTCTAAGATCAAATGGTGGAGAGTCCCAGATATAAACCTAGTGGGAGTTTCCCCCCACAGAGGGACAAAAAGGACCCCCTGATGATGCTCTAATCGCCTGAGCCAAGGTGTGAAACTGGGTGTGGGTCCATATCACCTGCATATCACCTGGGTCCATAACCTGGCCCCACCTTATCATGCAAATTCCTGAGATCAGATGGCCCAGGATGTAAGTGGGCGTTAAGGCGTCTGGGGAGGGATCTCAAAACTGGATTATAAATGGCAGAGAGTTGGTGTCGTAAACCACCACCTCTGTTCAAAGATGGTTGCTTTGCAAGCTCCTTTGACCAGTCCATTTACCATTAACGTCTGTGACAGGATCAGCTGTTCTGTTTTAAGTGTGTCATGAGAACTGGAGTTTACAGTCCAACATTGGAGTTGGATCCAAAACAGATACCTTGTTGCAGAGCCAAGCCATATTTTTGACAGGTGTCATAACTAATTATCAGATCACATTACTAGAAAGAATTTTGGGTAATTTCCAAGGTCTGAAAATGATGGAAAACAGTGTTTATGGGGAGCATCTGCCAATCGCAGTAACCCTGCTCATAACAGCTGATGTCAGTGGTTCCAACTTTTGGGATGAGCACTTGTGCATATTTTTTTCTTATGCAAATGTATGGAAGTGGTTTTCAAAGAGATTTAAAAAAAACTCCACATTGAGAACTGGTGTTCCTTTAACTACATATAGTATTTTTTAGTGTCTCCTGTTGAAGTGGATGACAGAATCAGTGTCTGAGGGGCAGAGGAACAAGGCAATGTGGGAGATTTATTTACAGCTTCATTCAGCACAAGTCGCTGCTGCTGTTTTATGACAGCGGCCTTGAGGGGAAACGAGCTAGTGAAAAAATAAAACCAGGCAGCTCCATCCTGATAGGATATCGCCTTACCAGCAACACATGCACACACATGTACGCACACATACAAACGTGCACACAAGTAAGCAAGACACCATCTTACATTGCAGCTGCAGCGAGACTAATGGTGATAAATCCACCAAATCTCATTAACTAGCCCGTGACACTCACGTGGCAACATGGAACAAGCGGTTTTGACAGATATGTGGCTGAGAGCTTCTCCACATGATCGAATGACAGTGAGATGGCAGACGAGGATGGCTAACTAGAAAGACGGGAATTAAAACTCAGTCGTTGGGTCCCTTTTGTCTTGTCATCATCGAGTGCTTTTTTGTATCTAGAGGGAGATAAGGCCTCAGAAAGCAATCGATGTGTAGGACAGTGCTGTCTATCTGCGATTAAACAGTCTGCGGTACATAACACAGGTTAAGATGTCACCTTTGATATGATGACAAATCTGACTGGGAAGCAGTTTTCGTATCTACCATATATTCTGCCAAATTTAACAAAATGAGGATAATGGAAAAAGCATAAAACTCAGTCTTCGACTCCCTAAATTGTTTGTATGTACATATATAAAACCTATCTGCATAAAGAACAAAGAATTTCAACGCAAGTGTCCATTTATAAATTCCTGTTTGAACTGAACTGAAATGCAATCGAAACAGAAAAACCATATATAATGGCTTTCTTGCTTGGCTTAAACACATCATCTCAATCTAGAATGAAGGAATGAAGGAGGTCAAAATAAATCATGAAATGCAATACTGACCAACTAAACACTGCAACAGCTAAAAGTATCTGAAACTGTGTGCGTGCGTCACTGACCTAGCTGGGTGTGTGCCATAAGGTCTGCCAGAGCGGTGGCTGCGGCATTGACGTTCAGGGCTGCGTGGGCAGTGGTGTTGGTGGTGGTGACGGATCTCCCTCCCGGGTGGGATGAAGTGGATGACGCGGAGGATGAGGTGGACGAACCCTGGATGACACGGTTAAACCAGTGCTCAACAGCTGGGTGGCTGTGGCCCTGGTAGGGCGTGGAGGTGGTCAGACGTCCCTGTCGGCGCAGCGAGCCCTCGTCTTCTGACGCTGAGGAGGTGTCTGTGTTTGACAGGTCAAGACAGGGCAGCGTCATAACAGAGGACAAAGAACATGGGGCTGTCTACAGTGTCACCAGGAAAAAAAATCAAGATGGGAAAACCTGGAACACTTGCGCAGGGTTTAGATGATATGCAGATGACACTTTATTCTACTTATACATACTGATAGAGTACATATAAGCCAGGGGATGGGTAGGATGACTTTAATGGGGATGGAAGTTAATTCGGCTGAGAGATGCTTGCTTTTAAATCTCTCATGGCTTCACTACTATGTTTTTAATATTTGCCTGTAAGCAGCCACACTGCAACGACATGTGCAATATATATGTATAAAACTGCAACACATGTATCAAGGGAGAGACTGGGTGTTGCATATTTGAAGATGATGATGAAAAGGAGGGAGAGTAAATTAGGTGTCTGGTATACTGAGCTGCAGTCATCAAAAATATGAATGATCAAAAACAAAATAGATGGGAGCCTTCTTCTGAGCATGTCAGCACACTTACATATTGCCTAGCTATTAATTAAGGCTGAATTTCTACCTCAAGACAATTACAATAACACATAACTACATACTGTAGTTGCACACAATACAAACATAAACTGTTAGCATAATAAATTCCCTTTTTCATGTCACTTGGACTCAAACTCAAAACCAGACACTGGTGATTTTATTTTCTCTCCCTCGAGGCAACTGTGAGCAGTTGGTCTCTTCAAAAATAGCCGAAACAGGAACAGCTTCAAAGTAATGTAATGATCATTTAAAATGAACATATTCCACTTCATCTGCCAAGTTACCCAGCAGCAGACTAGTCTTGCATTATGAATTCTGCTGAGAACAGAGTTCAGTGAAAGTGCAGTTCACTATCATGCATTTTTGGATAAAAAATTGTCCTAACTGTTTATAAAATCACCAAGAAACTTCCCAGCTTTTGGCATTATTCATCCCAGACCATGTAAAATAGCGTACCTACTCACTAAACCCCAAGAAAACAATAAAACTCATGCAATCATAGAAAACTGCTACACTAAAATTCATCGTGCTTTTGATTAACTGGAAAACGAGTCACTGAGAGAAGAGGGGGAGAAAAAGAAAAAGAGTACTGTCTAGAAGAAAAGGGGCTATGACTTCATGTGTGATCAGCACGTGCCTGATGGATGTTCTCTAAGCTAATGAGCCTTCATGTAATTAATCCCACTAATCTCCCACAGTACACAGTTTCAAGTAAAGTCCAACAAATTGAGACATTGTGAAAGTACTGCTTCGACTTTCCTTAGTCTTGGAGAGGCTGTTAGCGGAAGGTTAAAGGAGGTGTGATTATAACAAACCAATTTAATGCCTCTACAGCCGGTGGACTCGTGCAGTTTATCTCACATTTATGATTCAGTTTGTTATTCCTCACTCCAATCTGCCTCCCTATCTTGGTAACCTTGGCACAGTTACCCTGCAGAAGAGTGAAATAGAGGGTTAAAGAAGACATGCAAAGCAGAAATTGAGAGGTGGACGGATACAAAAAAAAAGGGTGGAGAGGGGTGCTATTTTTCACCACAAAGTAGTCAAAAACCAGAAGAGGCAGTGAAGACTGAGCCAGAGCGATATTTAAGAGACAAACCGTGAGCAGGGAGAGTAGCAGATACGCTGAGATCGACTTCAAGTACAAATGAACAAAAACAGGGAAACTAGCGAAGCTTCAGCAGTTAAAAGGCTGAGCTTATTTTCACTGATTTATGTCTATAGAAAATGAATTTGAATTGGCAAAGATCATGATGGAAAGTCTGTTTGATCAGACTCGTTGCATTTATCCTTGTACACCTGTGTGTCTTTTTTAACGCGACACATTAGCATTGTAAGCAAACTGACAACTGCTTTCTGCCTTGTTTCCTGTTTATTAAAAGACTTTCTTGTTGCACTCATATCAGGCTATGATCTAGGATACAGCATAGGATACAAGGCTAGGTACAATAATTCCAGTTTAGCAATCAAAGCGTTGCACTCGTGCACAGTTGGTTTTGAGTTCAATGTTGATAGCATCAGGGCACAAACGTGTTCTCAATTATGATGTCAACATCATAACAGCTGATATTTATTGGATATATTGTACAGCACAGGCTGATGGGAATGTCTTTTGTTGGGCAGTTTTTTGTTCAGAAGCCAGAGAACGTGACACGTTGAAATTTAATCCAGATACTAGATGATAAGTGAGAGTTATTACAGGGTTACTACAATTCCTCTTGAGGGGGGTATGATGTTATGTTGTAGTCTTTCCAAAGCAAAGCAAAGCAGTGGAACAAACAACCAACGGACTGATTGATTGCCATTACTAAAGTTTTGCGTATACTGCACCTACTGGTCTGTACATCCACTCACGCATTCATACAAATGTTGGCTGAATGTGCAGAAGCTGTTCAGGTGACGGCCTGTGTTGCATGGTATAACCCTCATCTGATGTTTCTTGTCTGTTCTTGTCTTCTCTGCTGACTAACCAGACAAATGTAGAAACAATAGCTGCCGTCATCTTTACAAAAGCAGCAGATCTTCTTGTATGTACATTACACATATATCAGTCTCATGTATGTGACTAATTCAAGTACAATAGTTCACTCAGAGAAACTCAAAACAGCCATGAAAAGTCCCTCTCCTTCTTCTATTCACACCACTGTGTCTGAGCTCTTAATCCGGTTACTTGCTCCACCGCTGTGTCCTCTCTTTTTATCCAAGACTTGAAGTTTTAAGGTCCCCCACTTGATAAAAATCACGGCAGTGTTTGAAAAGCCCTCTATAAAATCTCCTACAGATTATTTAATGAAAGATAACAACACATGCACAAGGCTCTTTTGGCCCTGAAACTCTTGGGAAAACAAGAAGCTGCTGGAAAGCTGTGAAATCACATAAATTCTAATGAACTGCCCACACAATACAAACTGTTATGCAAACAGGCAAAAGGTCGACATTTCAAGATGATGCTCAAAATCTGGTTATGCATTCATTCTGCCACTCGTGTAGGAAGGTCTCTCTGGGAACACAACGGTCAGAACCGAGTCTTTTATAGTCGCGAAGAATGGACACATTCAGAAAACCGCATATTTTCTTTCCAGCAGCAAATGCTTGACATCATCATTTTTGATCAGTGGACACAATGGAGTTTCAGCATCCTACACTCGACAGCTCATGGGAACATATCAAACAAACAACCCAGTGAGAACGCGCAGAACCAACTGGGATGCAGGGGATTTAAAGGAGCACGGGTCTCACCTGGCGGGGTGCATGCCTCTACAGAAGACTGAACTAGCACAGACCGTCTCTTGGAGGGCATGGGCATCTTCCTCTCTTTGTACTTGGCCAAAGCTGCTTGGACGGCTTCTGTGTGCAGATCTAAGAAACGCATTAACTCGGCTTAGCTACAGAATAAAAGAGAAACACAAGACGTTTAAAACTTTTTGGCAGTACAGAAACATGATTACCAGATCTGAAGCGCTCATCCCGGGTGTTGGCAGCCCGAGACTTGTTGGATTTGGAACCTTGAAGAGCAACTTGGGACGAGGCTTGGATCCTGTTGTCGATTTGCAGAGATGGATCTACACCTGTAGAGAAACAAGGCAGGGAGAAGATCGTTTATAACAGAAACAAAAAAAAATATATGTTCTTTAACAGTGTACCAATATCAATAACAGAGACGTGCCAACAAACTCTACGCAAAATGTGTCTTGGACATAGACCAATGGTGCACAACACTGCTTGACTAGATAAAGTTTCCACAAGCTTAATGGTAATCCCTACTTAGACGGCTCTGTTTGAGTGCAGTAGTTGAGAATTGAGAAAGTATTCACTTTAATTAAACCAGCCTCTCTCACTGCTTCTCTGCTGCCTCCAAGTTTTCCAAAGGAGGAAAATGCAAATTACACAGACGTAACTGGAAGGAGGTGATTAAGCACCATGAATGTCAAAAAGACAACATCTTCTAACTGTAATGTTCTAAAATTATCAAACCCACGAACCAGGCAACCTCACTGTGCACGAGGTTGTCAGGCAGTGATTCACACTTTGGCTTATGCAATCCTCATTTGAGCTTCATTAACTAAGTAGTGGTGAGCATCAGAGGGGAAACTGATGACTACTGCCTGAAGGAAGGTCACAATACAAACTCCATTAGTAATCTTCCTACCACTGGCTTCTCTTCTCACTCTGACGCTCTCAATGGGATGTATTAGAAGCATGTTGGAGGGAAAATAAATACGGGAAACTTAAAAACAACAGATGAGTACAGAGGACTTAATGAGTCCAAATGAGATAAATGTAAATGTAAAGCACATCCAAAGTTTGAAAACAGCGAACTTTTTGACAGGGAGGTGAGCAATGGACATGTTGCCAGGGAACCATTTGCATGAAATCCCCAATTGTGTAATAGAGCAAATTTTTCTTCTTGTTTAAAATTTAAGTGCACACAGAAACGATCAATAATAAAATGTGCACATTAAAGAAATACATAGGCAACATCGCTGTAACAAGTACTGAGATGTTATTTTAAGCAGCACTAAAGGACAGCAGGAGGCACAATGGGATAGAGACTTTACTATCAACACCA